AAAAGGGAAATTCTAAAAATCGCGTGTCGACAGGTTATTGTGCGGTCGACAATCCGTATCGGCGCACAGTTTCTGAAAAGTCGAAATACACGCGTAAATAACATCTTAAAGTTATATACTTGTTATTGCGAATAGTATTATCACAGCCCCGGTGGTCGAGCTGGCTAAGATGCCCGTCACGGATTGTAGGGAGGTCCCAGGTCCGAATCCTGGCTGGGGTAATATTTTTCGCAATAAGAATTTTAATAGCCTGATACGGTCAACAAAAATCACTATAGCCAGTGTAGGTCGTTAAAACTTAAGAAAATTTGGTTTCGAGTTTCTGGCGATATATAATTATCACTCTTGTTTCTGGTGATATATAATTATCACTCTTGTTTCTAAAAATACATTAACACAAACAATCAATGTAATTTTCATCAGTTTCTGAACCTCTGCTGTAAACTTTTCGATATACAAAAAACGAGTGGAATACTCACCGTACATCAATCCACAAAACCCGCTGAGAAACATAAGGAGGATTACAGCGAATATCGATCCTTTACATTCCAAACCCCATATAGGGAAGAATATGAGTATCAACGTAATGCTTTGGATAACTGTGATGATACTACCAACAACAATGTGAGACAGTAGAATTTCTTCTGTTCTGACCCCTATTACGTATTTATATTCACATTACTGTGATAAAATATACAAAGGCAAAGGAATAACCGTAAAGTCGATTTTGGAGTCTAATTAAAAAATTAGTACCTTGGACAACGCTTCGATTCCAGACACCCTCCAATCGTTCTGTGACTATTGAGAAGCAAGAGAATGTGCTGACTAAAAGGAAGGTAAATCTGCAAAAATATATTAGAAAACTATAAGTAGTTTAGTAAATTGAGTTTATTTATCATGTTGGCTTGATTTTTGCTTACGTTGGCAAGAATGCTGGTATCAAGAAGTCTATATACTTTAAATCAGTAGTACCATATATAGGATCTTCAAACTGAAAAGGATAGAAAATTTAATTTTTTCTGTTAGTGTTACATATAAGAGATAGGGAGAGAGAGAAAAAGAGAAGATTTACTTATAAAATGGAAAATTATAAAATACACTGACTCGAATCGGCGGACTGGCCAATTTTGGCAAATATTTACAGTTCCTCATGATAGCCTTGAAAACTTCTAAAAACCACTGAAATAGATTCTGCTGTAGAAAATATCCAATTGGTCGTTCTGTGACAAAAGTCATTATAAATTTAAATATTTGTAACAAATCGATTCTTTTACATGTCGTTCATGTCAAAATATTCAGGATGTGGGTAAAAATTTATTACAAACACGGAAAATTTATTACAATCACTATTCCATATGGGTTTGCGACTTTCTACGTAAAGCGAGATCCGCACCACACCTCGGACATAGTGTGGGTAGGGTTATATTTTAATGAGGTGGAGCCATCCCCGAAGGGGGGGGGGGGAGAAACATACTGTTTCCGCGCATGTACTTCCACCGTTGTACTGTTCCACATGGGTTTACGACTTTCCACGCGAAACAAAATCTACTCCAAAACTCAGACATGGTTTCCAGTGGGAGAGGCTCAATTGCGCACAGTACAATTGGACACGATGCAATTGCACACCAGTGATATTGGACACATAATGTTGCGCACGGTTCTTTTGCGCACCGTTCATTTGGACACAGTTCTTGTGCGCACCGTACAATTGGACACCGTTCCTTTTGGACACAGGGTAATCGAAATATAATTTAAAACACACAGACACACGTGTATGCATGTGGAGCCCTGTTTGGAAATTTTGCTAATTTAGGGTAAGCGAACTTATTTCGAAACACTTTTTAAAAAACTTGCTGTATCTTTTACATAAAATTTTCTAAAACAAATCTGATATATGCTAGTTAAGAAGTCATCCTTTAACTATTAATTAGGCATAAATTAATATTGGAAGAAGACTTTGTTTTTAAATGGCGGACAATCAATTCAAGTACTAAATTTGTTCCGAATTAGGTTCACCTGCACCTAATTCGGAACAGCTGTTTTCATATACAGCTGCATTTCACAACAACATAGTTTCATAATTCAATTAAGCAACGATTATCTTCCTTGAACCTTTAACTGTTGTTTAAGTCCAAAATATAAGAGAACAAGCAAGTAATATAAGAGAAATATGAAATTATTGTACCTATATACTTTACCGTAACTCATCCCACTCAGAAGCGCCCTGTCATGACAACCAATAACAAAAATATACTATTGTCAATTATTTTCTGTATCTACTGCTCATTTCTTCACATCACAAACTTTATTTATGATGCTCTTTATCACCAGCATTAAAATTTGACATTACGTGACAGCTAACAGGAGCAAAATTAAAGTGTTCCGAAATAGGTGCTGTTCCGAAATAGGTTCGCTTACCCTATTAATAATAAATCTTTCTAAATCAGCGTTTGTTAAATTGGACAGTTCTTTTACGCACAATTCAATTACGCACAGTTCAGCGCACAAGAACTGTGTCCAAATGAACAGTGCGCAAAAGAACGGTACACAAAAGAACTGTGCGCAATTATATGTGTCCAATAGCACTGTGCGCAATTGCATTGTCCGCAATTGAAGGCTTCTCGTTTCCAGTGGTTTCGTAAACGTACATGGTATCGTAAACTACATAACATTTGCGAAACTTCTTTTTTTCATAACTTTTGCTTCCTCATAGAGGAAGCTTTGTTTTCGTGAAAAAAATTTTTTTCCAGTTTTCTTTGAAAACATGTTTAGAATGTTCTAAAACGTTCAAAAATCACATTCAGAAAAAATGTCTGTATGTATGTATGTATGTGTGTATGTATGTATGTCTGTATGTATCCTTATAAGGTAACTCTAAATAACTTTTTAAATATGTAAGATGGAAAAAAATGTTTAACATGAAAGTTGTACGGTTTCATGTAATGCATTACATAGTAATATAAATTTGACCTTGAACATCTTTCTCAAGGTCACGTAAAGATCACCTTGAAATTTTTAAATGGAAACCCGTATTTTTAATACATATTCTTATAGCTTACCTCAAT